ACAAACTTGAGATTTTACCTATATCATGACTTATTCATTTTTTCTCTAAAACTTGGATTTTTAGCATACATTACAAATTATTAGAAACTAGGGAGACATGAGAGTGCCAAAGATATAGGATTATAGAGGGTCAAGGTATAAGACGTAGTGGCCAAAAAAATTGGTTAGGCTTAATGGAGCTGACTAAAATTAAATCAATGTAGGGAAAATTTGGGGTAGAATGGCTAATCAATAAAGTCTTAGGTTCATATTTCAAGGCAAGCCATAGCTAGAACTTCTCCTTGAAATACATTTTGGGAAAAGTTCTAGACAACACGCATATACAAGAATGAATCAAAGCCTTACCGCGCAAGGCATCACAATCCAACAACTTTTTACTCCTACTTGTAAATCATAAAGCCAAACAATGAATGCGTGAACCATGAAAAGAGCTTACTTCCAATTCACTTTTTCTCATTTTGAAAACATTTTTAACCTTTCTTTGTCAACCTACAAAACTTTTGGTGGTCCCTCTTGCAAGAGGTGAGATAGAAGATTCAATTTAAAATTAACACTTGACATTGTCTCTTAAGAATGTCATCTACCAATCTATCATAAGGAAACACCAACTCGATTCGACAGAAAGAGACTCAAAGAAAAAAGAACAATTAATTTTTTTTTGTTCTTTGGGAAAGAACCATGACATAAAGAAAATCATTGGAGTTTATGTGATTAATCTACTATTCATAAAAACGATTTTGAATCATGCACTCATAAATTCATTAAGAGAACGAGGCTTATTGAAGGCACTAAGCGCGATTACCAAGCACAATTAGTAAGACAATGGATCATGTAAGACCAACCTGGCTAAAATGAATCAAAATCAAATGCATGGTTCATCATCCCAAATGAGTCCATCATTGACTTTTAAATCAATTGTCACCAATTCAGTAGGACATACTAATTATAATTATCCACAACTTCGGCATCAATGCCACACAATAAAATTAACCCACAACTAGAATGACCACATAAGCAACCCCAACTGAAAATTAGCATTGTCCCCAATACTTAATAATAATAATAATAATAATAATAATAATAAGGTAAGAAGCGGAAAAACACTCCCTGAATCACTATTCCTCATAATTTACATCCTCATTATCATCCACATCATCATAACGACGTTGAGACGTGCTAGACTCTACTCCACCACCTTGTGGGTAAGTTGACCTCAGGGTTGCTGTCATGGCGCGCTAAACATCTGTCCCTTCCTGATCATCAGCTCCTTCCTCTGAGATTCCCATGATCCTTATCAAGACATCTATTGGCTCAGGGGTATTCTTTGGAGCTCTCATTACTTCAACCAACATACACAAATCGCCTTCCCCCCATAGGAGTTTTCCCTTTCAGATGTCTCATGTCAGTTTGAAGAGTGTTAATTCCTTCCCCTACCACATCAACCCATTTGCGTAAGTTGTACAAACTATTCACCATTCCCTTCGTTGTTTTTTCAGCTGTATCTACATGTATTTCAGTCAAAAGCCACAAGGTTGCTCGAAATGAGTCTAGGAGCCTCGGTGCCCAAACCAAGGGTCCCTCTAGACCAAACTCGACGTTCTAGAGCTAACAAAATCATTAGAATTCCATTTTGAGGTTCTTTACTTGGAGTTTTGGCCAAAGTCAATCATTTAAACTTCAAAAGCTCTAAAACACATAAACTTGCACAAAACTCAAACGAATGACCATATGACCGAATTGTTTGTCTCAACAAGTTGGGGTCGCTATAGAAAAACTCTAAACGTTGAGAAAACACATACGGAGAAATAGACCTAGTAGGTCACTACATGTCCAAACACTAGTTGTTTCTCAAAAGTATTTTTAAAACAAATTGTTCCTTATCAAAAATACTATATAAGCTTATTTCATGATTCAAAACCTTCCAAGCTAGTGCGTATTCGGTGCTATACGCTAATGTTGATTAGTATAAGTAAATAAGAATCATATTCATTTCTTCTTTAATTTGTCGGATATTATTGCTTGGTATATATTTTAGTTGTATTTCATAAATAAAATATTTTGGAAGCGTATATAAGACTCATTTGGACAAAGATTTTGAAAGTATTTTTTAAAGTAATTTTCTTTGGACCAAATATCACTTTGGCCTTAGAAATTCTCCAGTTTTTGAGAGATTGATTTCAAATTTAAAAATTTGCTTCAAACTTATTTTTGGGCCACGATATAATCATTGATTTCTTTTAAAATTATAATTTTGTCCTAAATTTTTATATTTTATATATAAAAAACCCCATATCGATTATCGATTACTTTATATTTGTTTTGCTTGACTTGTATGAATTTACTTCAAATTTGTTTTGCTCGACTTGTGTAAAAAAATAGATTCGTAAACCTTTGCCTCTCATCTTCTATATTGGATAATATTTGTTTGTAGTGTATAATATTTTTTCCAGTTATGTAAATCCTTGTCTATATATAAGGTCTCTCATCTCCTATTGTTATCTCTTTTAATTGATTAATTGCTCCTAGTGAGTACTTGTAATTCGACGAATTATAATAGTTAGTAATAGTGTTACTACCCATTTTTATTAAAATATCATATTATAATTCTAGAATAATATATTATTTAGTTCATTATAAAAATAATAATTCTGTGTCAAATGCATATGTATATAAGATTATGATTTGCAATAATAATAACCAACAAATCATATATGAAGGTTCTACATCATTTAGGATTAACAAATATGTTTGCACTTTGGCGTAGTTGGGTATTTTTTAAAAGAAATAAATTCTAGAATTTAAAATATATGTTATGTTTCATCACTTTCATGTTGTTTTTTATAAAGTAATATATATATTGAAAATTTATGATTAAACCTATTTTGAAACTTCACTTAAATCTAATTTTATAAGGATATTTAAAAATCTATAGCCAAATACATAGAGATATTTTCTAGTACATTGTGAACTATTTTTTATTTTTTATTTATTATTTTTGATTTTCTACCTCCCCGTGTTTGGAACCTACATTAGAGTCTTGTCTAAATTTAAATTGCGCATTACAGGGCTTGTTTGGGGAAATTTTTCTCCATAACCTCTAATTAAGGGTGAAACAGTCCCACTACTGCACCGTAACCCATGTTGGAATGACCCGTTTGTTACTAGGCTTGTATATGTAAGGGTTGAGATTTCAAAGATGGTTCGTGATACTATTTGAATACTTCCAATTTTGACGTTACACTAGCCACCAAACACTTTCCCTGAAATACAAACCAATTCTGACGTTTTGTTACCTCTTTACACATGTTTTCTCCATATGATTCCAACCCTCTTTTAAGGAAAAAAAAGAAGAATAGCCAAACGTAACGCCAAAAATATTTTTTGACATTTTTCACGGCAAAAAGCATCCACCGTTTCTTTTTCTCTTCCACAATTTCTAGGCGTTTCAACATGACCATAAAAATCACGATTTAAAATTATTACTCTCTCTATCTCAATTTATATGACATATTTTAAATTTTGAGATTCAAATAAGTCTATTTTTTTTATCATAAATTATTCATATATCTTTCAAGTAGTTTGAGTTGTCAATTATTGTGATTTATACTACTTTTTATGTAGTTTACAAATATATAAATTTCATTATAAAAAAATTGAAGATTCCGTGAGCAAATTCTCGGTCAAACTTAAACTGTTTATCTCTAGAAAAACGAAATATATCACATAAATTGGAATAGAAAAAACAACTAATTAATAAAGATATTTATGGACTTTGTGTATTTTTTCCATATTAATTTATTCGTCTTTTTTTTTAGTTAGGTATGTATTTAAAAATTATGTAAACAATATTATAAAATTACAAGAATTAACAAGTTAAAATATTTATCTGTATCCTACTATTCCATTCATTTATTTCACTACATTATTGTCTTTTATAAGCTTACTTGATAACATGGTTATTCCTTTAAACTCTAAACTAGAGTAAATTGATTAGATAGTTATTCATATTTGGAAATTTGCTTTATCATTTATTTTTTTAGAATTATAATATTATCTTACTATTTCTATTTTCTTCATAATATATTCATCTCTCCTAATGGGATAACATATGTCACAATTTTTTAATAATATAATAATATTTGTTTAATATCTTTATAAGCAACTTCTTTAGGTATTCAATTAAAGCATTTACCTTATTCTGGAGTTTTAAAAAAAAGATAATTAAATTTTAAATTAAATTAACTAATTTTTATTATTTATTTGTCAATATTTTTAAAACTTAATTATAATAAGTTATTATCTTATTTATTTGAGTACATTAAATCAATAATAATTAGTACACAATTGTTTTGTTATGATATCAAAATATTATTTGTATATACAAATATAGCTATGATAAGCTAATACTTTTAGTTTTATAATGTATTCGTTGAGCTATTATCAAGACAAATTTTATTTTTGATTATGTTATCTTAGATAAAAATCAAATACTTCATTTGTTTCAACTTATTTGTCCTAATTTTTTTAGTCTGTTTAAAGAAATTATTTCTTTTTTATTTTTAGCAACATTTTCATTTTAATTTTTTCCACGTAATATGTTTAAGACACAAATTTAAAAGATATTTTAATATATTTGATATATGTTTGATTTAAAATCACAAGATTTCAAATTTTTTTCTTATTTTCTAAAATTTCGTGTCAAATTAAAATAAGACGAATAAATTACAAACATAAACATACAAATTTAATGCATGAAATCTATGTTACAACTCCCAAGTCTCACCAGGTAGCCAACCAACTAAACTAGTAAGATTTCCGTTGCTAGTCCGAAAAAAAGAAAAGATTCTTTCCGCGACTTCCTTAGTGAGAAAGGGAAGTCGTTTAGGTAGCATAAAAGTTGATGATTTTGTCCTTGTCTTTCGTCATGATAATCTTGCAGGCATTAGGCGTTTCTCTTTTTATAGTTTACAACTTGTATAAGTATAGTTGTATTTATGTATGTATACCCAAGTATAGAAATTGTGACCTCTTTCCTTTACTTTACTAACTCACTAAATGGCTCCTCCATCTCACACTCTTCAACTTCCTCTGTTTCTCACTTGTTGTTTCTTCTTAACATTAACACTTACTCTTGGTGAAAAACAATCCTACATTATTAGAGTCCAAAATGACTTGAAACCTTCTGTTTTTTCTGATGTCGAGCACTGGTATAGTTCTACCCTTAGTAGCCTAATTAGGTACAATCCTCTTAAAAGTACTGATCAGGATGAGGAGTTCCTTCATGTGTATAAAACTGTTTTCCATGGCTTCTCTGCAAAACTCACTGCACAAGAGGCCCAACAACTGGCTACTTTCGATGGCGTTCTTTCAGTTTTACCTGACCGACTTCGACAACTTCATACCACTCGTTCACCTCACTTTATGGGGTTGGATTCAGCTTCTACCATGTCTAATCTTGTAACCGAATCTGATTCTGGTTCTAATGTTGTTATCGGTGTGCTCGATACCGGTATATGGCCAGAACGACCGAGTTTTCATGATCAAGGCATGGGACCTATTCCATCATTTTGGAAAGGGGAGTGTACTGTGGGTGAAAATTTTACAAAAGCTAATTGCAATAAAAAAATTATTGGAGCCAGGTACTTCACATCTGGGTATCTAGCAAAAATGGGGAGTATGAATTCCTCTACTGATATAAAATCTGCGAGAGACACCGAGGGGCATGGAACGCACACAGCGTCCACGGCAGCTGGCAGAGCTGTCGGGGATGCTTCTTTCTTGGGATTCGCAAAAGGGGTTGCGGTTGGTATAGCACCCAAGGCGCGGATTGCTGCCTATAAAGTTTGTTGGAAAAGGGGTTGTATGGATTCTGACATCTTAGCTGGATTTGATAAAGCTGTGGAGGATGGTGTTAACATTATTTCGATTTCTATAGGTGGTAGTGCTGTTCCTTATAATCTCGATCCGATAGCAATAGGATCCTTTGGAGCAATGGAGAAAGGTGTTTTTATCTCTGCTTCAGCAGGCAACGAAGGTCCTAGATCAATGAGCGTAACGAATGTAGCTCCATGGATTACAACAGTGGGAGCTAGCACAATTGATAGAAAATTTCCTGCTGATCTTGTTCTAGGAAATGGGAAGAGAATCACTGGTTCATCAATATATAGAGGTGATGATCCTTTACATGACATTAATAATTTTCAACATTTACCCTTAATTTATGGTGGTAATGCTTCAGTGGGTTTACGAAATGGTGCTAGGCATTCTAGTAGCTTTTCTTCAGCAACATGTATGCCTGATTCTCTAGATAAAGAACGTGTACGTGGGAAGATTGTTGTCTGTGATCGCGGTGGCACTCCAAGAGTGTCAAAAGGAGAGATCGTTAAGGATGCCGGTGGTGTTGGAGTAGTTGTAGCAAACATATTCCCCATGGGAGAAGGACTAGTTGCAGATGCACACTTGATCCCTGGTCTAGGGGTGACTGAGTCAGCGGGTAACCTTATTCGTGATTACATTAACTCCAACGCCAATCCAACAGCCACTATGACTTTCTCCGAAACTCAAGTTGGGGTAAAACCAGCACCTGTAGTTGCATCTTTCTCTTCAAGAGGACCTAGCGCGGAGTCTATTTTTGTTCTCAAGCCGGATGTGATTGCACCTGGAGTTAATATCTTAGCTGCTTGGCCTGATGGTGTGGCACCTACTGAGCTATCATCTGACCAACGCCGCACCCAATTCAATATTGCTTCAGGAACATCTATGTCGTGTCCACATGTATCCGGTTTAGCAGCTTTACTCAAAGGAGCTCACCCATACTGGTCACCAGCAATGATTCGTTCAGCTCTCATGACAACTGCATACACCCAAGATCAACAAGGCAATCCATTACTAGATGAAACATCCTACAACATTTCAACCACAATGGACATGGGTGCAGGGCACGTTGATCCTGAGAAGGCTGTTGATCCTGGATTGGTTTACGACATAACAGCCGATGATTACTTGAACTTTTTATGTGCTTCTAATTATAGTGGTAGGGATATTAAACAGATTACTAAGAGATCAGGGAAGTGCAGAGGGAAGCATGATCATAAGCCTTGGAATTTGAATTATCCAGCAATCTCAGTAGCTATTTATACGACGCAATTGCAGGAACCAGCAATAGTACAAGTGACAAGGACTGTGACACATGTTGGTGAGACACCATCGACCTACACAGTATCAGTGACAAATCCAAAAGGTGTGAATGTAACAGTAACTCCGTCGAGTATGAATTTTAGAGAAAAGGGTGAGAAACAAAGCTATGTGGTTCGAATTAAGGCAGAGAAAAAGGCAGTTACAAGCTTAAACTCAGTGATTGAAGTAGGAAAGTTAAGTTGGTCAAACGGGAAACAACATGTGGTTTCCCCTCTTGTTGTAGTTTGGAAACAGCGTTATGAAATCATGATATAAATGTCTTCCATTATCTATAAATTTTTTTACATATTCTACTAAGTTGTGTACAATCACAATTCCTTTTTAGTGTTTTCACCTCTTAATTTATTCTTCATAAAAGTATATTCAAATCTCACCTTGTTTCTCAAATTAAACTGGAACATAATTATGACAATTAACTTGAACCCATGATTAATTTAAGAAAATTCAAAGAAAGAATACACTAGAATAAAAAATTGATTCTGCTCTTACAAAAATGTTAATGACAATTAGAAGTTATAAAATAATGTTTGACATGGATTTCACTTGAAAAAGAATGTGAACTTTTGTGGATATACGTACCATATATATTAGTGTGTATTGGTACGTAATTGTTTTATAACTCAAAGATTAATTAGCGTATGGTTAAAATTGGAGATTGTGTTATAATTTTGATATGCACATAACCGATGAGCAACTACCTTGGAGACCGTTATGAAAAAAGCAGAACCAAAAACATAACTCTCTCTTTCTTGGTCAATTCCCCCATACTATTCTCATTTCCCCCTTTCCAAGGATCGGATCACCCTTTTTTCTTACTTACTCTCTCAAAACTTTCTTCCTTGTAAATTACATTACTACTATGCATTCTTCGGCATTTTTCAGAACATTTAAGCCAGCAATTCGTGTCCTTGCCGCCCCTCAAAATCCATTATTTCTTCGTTCCATCTGCACCAAATCAAATGCTTCTAATGAAAATCCAACACTTTTTGGTTCTGGCCTCATCATTGCAGCCTCAACCATAGCTCTCTATTATATTTCATCTTCTTCTCATCATATTTCATATGCCGATTCTGGACAAGAGTCCACCTTTTTATTTGGAGGTAATATCTATTTTTTTTCATTTTCCTAAAATATTTCTTCAACATTTACGGTCTTAATTTGTTTTTTTCTCGATTTTCAGATTCGTACCGGAAAAAAGTTTTCTTCAAGTATGAGAAACGGTTGAGATTGCAAAGTCCTCCTGAAAAGGTAAGGAATATTATTAGCCACATTTTCAAGTTTGGCATCAGGAAGGAATCTGATTCGAAATTTGTCCATGAAGCAAGATATACAAATTATACATTGTTAAATTACTTTAATTTGTTTTTTATGTTGATTCTAGGTGTTTGAGTACTTTGCATCGTACCGAACACCAGGTGGGGAAGTGTATATGACTCCAGGGGACTTAATGCGAGCAATTGTTCCGGTGTTTCCACCATCTCAAACAACTGGCATTAGAGGAGGTAATCTGAAAGGAGAATCCGCTTCAACCGAGCTACATTGTGCTCCTTCACAATTTTTCATGCTCTTTGATACCGATAATGATGGACTTATATCATTTCCAGAGTGAGTATTTTTGAAATTTTCTTAGTTACTATCATGCTCTTCCGTATCAATAAGCAGTCAAATTCCATTTGCATCAGGTACATATTTTTCGTTACACTATTGAGCATCCCGGAACCTAGCTTTTCACAAGCATTTCAAATGTTTGACATTGACAATGATGGGTATGTTGCAAGACTTGATAACGATCTTTTTATAGAAAAAACAAGCTTCACTTCTGATTAGTTTCATTAACAGGGGAGTTGACAAGGAAGAATTTAAGAGAATGATGGAACTGATGCGAACTGCTAATAGACAAGGTGCACGACATAGAAATGGAATGCGATTTGGATTAAAAGTCACAGGTTCAGTAGATGAAGGAGGTCTATTGGAGTACTTCTTTGGTAAAGATGGCAAAGGGAGACTTGAGCAAGAAAAATTTGTTCAGTTTTTAAGAGATTTACATAATGAAGTATGGTTTTCGATCTCCAAGAAATACAATATAGTTTCTTCTAAAAATATTCGATTTGATTCAAATTCCCTTTATGAATTTCAGATATCGCGATTGGAATTTGCCCATTATGACTACAAGTCACAAGGAAGCATTTCTGCCAAAGATTTTGCTTTATCAATGGTTGCATCTGCTGATATAAGTCACATCGACAAGTTTCTTGACCGAGTAGAAGATCTGGATGATGAAAAACAGCTTAGAGACGTACGCATTACATTCAAGGAATTCATGAACCTTGCTGAGCTACGCAAAGAACTACCATCATTTTCACAGTCCATCTTAAGCTATGCAAAAAATGGACTTTTGTCGAAACAAGAGTTGAAAAGAGCTGCTAATCAAGTATGTTGAAGCTGTCTATACAACCTCTTCTCTTCCCTTCCTCACTATGAATTTGCTAATGATGTCTCTTACCAGGTTTGCAGCATATCACTTAGCGATAACGTGGTGGATTTGATATTTTTCATGTTTGATTTAGATTGTGATGGGACTTTAAGTTCAGATGAGTTCCTAAGAGTGCTGCAAAGAAGAGAGCAAGAGAGTTCACAACCAAGAGAGTCAAGTTTTGTAGGTTTCTTCTCTAGCTGGCTTGACTCAACAAATAAGTAGTTTTTGATTCAAATATATATAGTGGAATATGCTCATCCAACATTCTGTGTTAGCTTTTAACTAGGGATTTGAACTTTTAGAGTTCCACATCTGGACATTAATTGTAGAGTAACTCCCGCACCTCCATAACATTATCCATGAACACGTAACCTTCTCCATGATCTCAATAGTTAATATCATGTTTAAGACAATTTTGTAACCACCCTCTTAAGTAATAATATAACTACGATCAACGTATTTTGTCTATCTTGTTTTCATCTTTAATATTGTTATTTTAACCTTATTTTCTTAACATGTTATCAACGTCAAAACTCCAATTTTATGAACAAATATCAAGTTTCACCTTCTTCAGATAAATAAATGTCCTCAATCATCAGTTGGAACCGAAATGACTAATGGAGATATATGTCTTTTATAGAGTGCTACAACTTACACTTAATTAAGAAAAAAATATTTCTCTTATTTGGTTAGGAAAGAGGCTTGTGTTAATACAATAAATGGTAGTACAAAATTAGTTTAGGACATAGCAACCTTATTAATAAATGGAGGAGCAAAATTGTTTGTTAATATGCATTATATTATAGTATGTCTCAAAGAAACTTGATGAGTTTCAAATCTATTTGTCAAAATAGCTACCATGTTGAGATCGTCAATGAAGGAAATGTTGAATATCTTTTTATTATTACTAAACGTGTGTTGCATTATATTATAGTATGTCTTAAAATGGTGAATGATGAGAGAATTCTATCGACTTAATTGTTGAATTTAAGATAAATAGATATTTTTTGAACGATTAAATCTAATAATGTCAATACAATTGTCATATCAAATATTCAAATTGACAGGTTTATTGCTTATTTAATTTATTTCAACGGCATATAGTTTACATGTGTATATGAGTAATATTTGCTATGACTGTGAATACTTCACTTCTAGAAGTTTGTGCATTGTCTTTAATATATATATATTATATATTATGTTGTTGTCAATGAGATGAACATTTTTGTAAAAGTTGTACATAAATTCGATTAACATATCTTTTTTTAGGATGTATAGTGTATCATCTATTGTCAATTTCATGGTGTATAGCTACAAATAAGTAGTAATTGTGATAAAGATAATATAGTTCGTGACATCAAAGAGTTTTATTGATATCATAATTGTGTGCACATGATCCTTTTGTCTGTACATTTAGAGAAAATAATATTATTTTAATTACATAAATATGATTAACAAATTAAATATAACACGATAACCTTATGTCAAATGTAACATCCATTAGGCACCCTGTAGACTAATAGTTTAAGAAATTTGAACTTGTAGTTTATAATGTGCTGAACTTCTACAACAATAATAGAAAAATTGGTTAACTGAATAGTTTAATCATTAATCAAGATGAACTGTTACTATTTTGTATCCATATTATTTGAAAGAAATACATTTAGCTCCATAGATTAAAAAAGAAAAACAATCTAAATTTCAAGGTTAAGATTAGTTTGCATATTATCAATTTTGACAAAGAGTTTGTACCTCCTTTTTTCCTATCCGACACCGGTAAAGCCCCGCATCAAAGATCCCCTCACAAGATGGGATGAAGTCCCACATGAGTTAGAAGGTAATCGACAACAAGGTGGTACTACAATGAATACATGGAAAAGCGACAGAATATAGCAAACATCAATTTATATTTAATGTATATAGCTACAATTTATTTTTTTAAGTTATATGGATATACTTATATATTAACTAGTTTCTGGACACGTGCGTTGCATGTGTATCCATCTAAATTGACATAAACTGTTTCAAATTATCATTATATTAAAAATAGTTTTATAATTAAATTACATAAATATCATTCATTTTCAAACAAAAAATAGTTCAAATATTTGGAATCTACTCTTGGATACCAATAACAAATTAAAATATGACAGCAAAGTATCGCTTCTCCAAATGAAATAAAAGATGATAATATTTAGTACTTTAAAATACTATAATTGTAAAAACAAATTAATATATGCATATTCTTATCTCATATGTTAATTACATGCAAGACAAATTCAGAGAAAAGAAAAAAGATGAAAAACGAAAAGAATTTGATAGCCACTTCTTAGAGTTAATTAAAATAAAATGAAGGCTGCAATAAATAATCAATATTAATTATTATTATTATTAAGGGATCATATCAAGTATTGAATCCTACCAAATTAATTTTTTCAAAAATGAGCTTAGACTACAGAAATATAGCATCCACAGAATGACAACTTAAAATATGAAACGGTATCAAAAGTTGAAACGTTGAATTTGCCTTCCTCAAAATGAGACAAAATGATAAATAAATAAATAAGGATAAACATTTATATCATTATTTCTTCTGTGAAATCTCCATTTCAAATTATTCATCGTGTTTCAATCTTGTAAACTCCTTCAGAAAAAATTGATAAAGAATGTAGTTTTATATATTCTATCTTACGTACTCCTTACAAAAAATAAACATATCTATCTATAGATAAAAGGAGAAGAAAAAATGACACATGTTAATATCATAAATTTTCAATATTTTAAATAATTAATAATCAATAATTAAATAAATAAATATAGACACATGTCAATAATTAGAATTAGAACGACACATGTCAACACCACAAAAATAAAATACAAATAAATAAATTTCAAATAAATAAAAAATTTAACTATCTTTCCACAACCTCCTTATTTATAGCAAAAAAATGTAGATGATAATAATAATAAATTTTCAATTTTTTAAAAATCATTTCATTAAATAGCAAAATATTTTTATTATTTTTTAAAATAATTTTGAAGTAGTTTTTACAAATAAACGAGAAATAATTTTTAAAAAATTCTTTTTTTTTCCTAAAATTAAAAATTGGTTACTATTCTTTGAATTTGAATTTTAAATTTACTGTTTTGAAATAAAAACATTTAAAATAATAAAAAAAGTAAACTGAAATTTTTGGTAAGTACGTTAGGGATCCTATTTTTGTGGGAAATTATCAAATGTTTTATACTAAATATTTAAAATAATTTTCCACAACTACTCCTTTGTAGCAAACAGAATGCAAATTGCTTACACTAATTTCTTAAGCATAAAAATAAATTAATAGCAAGTATCAGACTCATTTTATAATGCAATTTTTTTGATAGAATAAAATTATTTATTTCATACTTTTATGTAGATTGTTGTCACATTTAAATTGTTTTCTTTAGTTTTAAATTTTTCAAATACAAAATATTTTATCAAATTAATTACTGCTAATTAAATATGAAAAATACTAAGATTATATAATAAAAAATATTTAAAATAAGGTAATGCAGTTACAAAACGAAAAAAAAAGAATTTTTAATTATTGAAATAAAATAAAATGAATTAAAAAATAAAAATATAAGACAATTAGAAAACCACCATAACTCTCCCACTTCCGCTATTTCCTCTCTCAGAGAAGTTTTTTTTCCTACCCTTTCTCCACTGATATACGTTTATATATATCATAACCATGCAAACAATTTGTTCATTCGTAGACAATGTTTCCACGCCAATAATATGCATACAATCTTTTTACTCATTGATTTCAATGCGTATTTTGTTTTTTATTTGAAAAATTTAAGAATTGGCAATTAGTGATTGATTTTGTATTTTGTGTTACTTTGATTTATTTTTTATCTGATTTTATCAAAGATAAAGAATGAACGGGAAAATCTCAAAATCAAGTGCTCAGTTATTTTTTGTTGAGAACCCTAAAGAACTTCTCAAATTTGTGGATGTCTTTCTCTTTGATTGCGATGGTAAGAGAAAA